CCTTGTTTGTGTAAACGTCTGCTTTCCCTCTTGTTAGGGCTTTGAGGGACATCAAAACGGCCCATTGTAAAAAAAAAATAGCTTCTCAAACAGGAGCAGTGGGTGGAGATCTGTTGTGGGGTGTAGGAAGGGCAGCCCGGGGTCAAGAGTTGCAGTTGTTCTGCACGCTCTGGTCCTCTATCTTTCCTTTCAGAAACTTCCCTAAGTTCATAAATTTGATCAGTTGTCAGCATTCCTGTTACACAAAACTCAATAATAGATTTGCTTATCCAAAGCAAGACACTAAGAAGGAGCGAATGTGACAAATGTTGTGCGGAGCCTAATGCACCAAATGGTTTTATTATTCATAACGATTTACCTCCTTCTCCAGATTCGTTACTGTCAGACACTCAGTGAGGAAGAGAAGAAAGAGTTGCAGATGTTCAGCCTCCAGAGGAAAAAAGAAGCGTTGGGAAGAGGAGCCGTCAAACTGACACCCCGCAATCTTCAAAACAGCATTTGTGAGCATGTGAGTTGTACACATCATTCATTATATCAGGTTGCAGTTAAGAAATAAAAATTTGTCCGAAATCGTAATCCATACTCATCAATATTTATCCAATTTCATCTAGTAAAACCTTTACATTCCTTAAATAGTTTCACAATTCAACCAAAAGTATTTATGTATTGTGTTGAGATTACATATAATAGGCCTACAAAAAGACAATGCAACATTATTTGAAAGAAAATGATACATGGTTTAAAAAACTGCTATGTGCATTTGCATTAAGCCCTACAGTGTTAGCACTTTGTAAATCCATGTTTTGCTGAAACTGTATCATATTGTTTAGGGGTATATGTAAGGTTTCTGCCTGTACTTTTCAAAATGGCTTAAACCCAGACTGGATGAGAGTGTTAAAAGCAATTCAGAAGTTTCTCCAATAGATTCGTCCTTTAATGTAGGTCTGGAATTTAAGAGGAAGAGCTAAAACTTAAATCCTTGAGGGCAGATGTCCAGCATTTTTTTTTAGATTTTTCTCATTCCATACACATAAATCAAATGGCTTAACAACCCTACTTGCATGGAAGTCTGCAGAGCTTTGCCAGTGCGGTTATGATGAAGTCAGGTGTGTTGAAGTACAGATGCATCTAAGCGTAGGATGATACCAGCACTCGAGGGCTGGAGTTTTAGACCCCTGCTCCCCATTTTTCAAAGTATTAAACATTACTGAGGTATTTTTAAAAACTCCAAAATATGTCTAATTTAATCTTCAAGCCATTTGTTCTCTAATAAACCTCCAAGTAAATACCTGGATTGCATGGATATTTTTAGGGCTACTGAAAGAAGGGGGGCTAAATTCAAAAGCACGCCACACTTTTAAAGTATTGTTTGGGGAAAAAAAAGGTTTTTACATAATTATATCCTTTTCATTACATTTCCGTTATGTGCAACTTTGTGTTGATCTTTTAAATGAAATCCTATTAGTGCCTATACTATTTTTGTAGCTTGTGGTTGTATTGTGACAAAATGTGGGTATGTTTAAATGGGACATTCTGTTTTTAACAAGCCCCAAAATTAATCTCACACGTTTTCTTTAGTTATAGCAGATTTTATTTTAATATGCTCATCATTTTCATTATTAATCTAAAACTGGAAAAACAAAGATCTGAAACTTAAAACATACAGGTATGATCTGGATTTTTATTGTTAGGTGCTGGTAAATTATCAGCACTTAGTACCACAGAAGCAGGAGTAATTACATTTCCTCTTGGGATTAATGGAAAATTGGTCTTGAATGGAATTACTTTCCAAATGATCTAAATAAATGGAAGTTTGAAGTGGTACAAATCCTTAGCATTACATTTTAAAACAACTAAAATGTTAAATCAATTTTTATTTACTTTTACAATGTGTTCTTTTTGCATCAGATAGCTTCCATGCGCACTAACTTTGCTAAATAATGTCATTCGTTATGTCAAAAACTTAAACGAGCAACTCTTTCAGTCATTGCCTCTAAGCTCTGCACACGTTCAGATAAAGCAGATTAAATTAAGTGGAAAATAAAGCAAAATTAAGTACAATAAAGTTTTATGACTTTCAAAATACTATTAATATGTAATTCTGCATTTTAAACTCAGCCTGTTACTCCTTTGATTTCAGTGTGGTGACAACATTAACGGTGGGGAAATGGCAGTGTTTGCCTCTAGGGCGAGTCCTGGGGTGTGCTGGCACCCAGCATGCTTTGTCTGCTCAACATGCAATGAACTTCTGGTGGATTTGATCTACTTTTACCATGATGGAAAGATCCACTGTGGAAGGCACCATGCTGAGCTGCTCAAACCACGCTGCTCAGCCTGTGACGAGGTAAAACCACATAGGAAACACAGTAAAACGTGACTACAGCACTTTATAATGTTGAGTCTAAATACATTTTTGTTTTCTGTTTAACACAGATCATCTTTGCTGATGAATGCACGGAGGCAGAGGGTCGCCACTGGCACATGAAGCACTTCTCCTGCTTTGAATGTGAGATCATTCTTGGAGGGCAGCGTTACATCATGAAGGACGGCAGACCCTACTGCTGTGGCTGCTTTGAGTCCCTCTATGCAGAATATTGTGAAGCTTGTGGCGAACATATTGGTAGGAAAACCCTTATTGAGTTTAAGACTCAAATTCCTAGTTTGCCCTCATTAACGTTTTCTTTTCTGCAGGTGTTGATCATGCTCAGATGACCTACGATGGACTCCACTGGCATGCTAGTGAAAACTGCTTCAGCTGTGGCCAGTGTAAGAGCTCTCTCATTGGATGTCCTTTCCTGCCACACCAGGGCCACATTTATTGCTCTAAGGCCTGTGCTCTTGGGGAAGACGTACATGCTTCTGACTCCTCTGACTCCGCCTTCCAATCAGCACGCTCACGCGAATCCCGCTGCAGCGTTAGGTTGGGCAAAAGTAGCCGCTCAGCCGACCAGTGCAGACAGTCACTCCTCTTCTCACCCTCTGTCAACTATAAGTTCCCCGGCATTAGTGAAAATGCAGAGGACACCTTGACCAAGATGGCTCACATGAGCTTATCCGATGAGCATTTGTGGCGGGAGCGTGGAGAGGAGGCAGAGGTACCAGAAGACCAAGAAGAGGAGTGGGCTGAACATGAAGACTACATGACACAGCTGTTATTAAAGTTTGGAGAACATGGGATTTTTCAGCAAACTTGTGACTCTAGACCCACAGATTTCTGGATAGCAGATGTCAAATCAAAGCAGGAGTCATCCAAAACTGGCAGCAGTGGAAGAGCAGAGAGGGGAGGCTTGGTCAATAAGACATACCAGGCTGACATGTACCGGACACAATCACAGGACGGGTTGGGGGACTCTGCATATGGTAGCCATCCGGGACCAGCAAGCAGCAGAAAAATCCAAGAGCTGGAACTGGATCAGAGTGCCGGAGGTGGTTTACCTGGAGAGGAGCCGCAGTGGTACACTAACTCTTTGGAGTGCATTACAACAGAGTTCAAGAAAAAAGAGCAAAGTGTCCGGGACTCAATGGAGTCTCTTGCTCTCTCCAACATCACTGGTGAGCAGACGCAAAAGAACATTTCTTGACAGTCTTGTCTTCATCTCTAAACCATTTGTAATTGTTTGTCTCCTCTCCAGGTGCTTCAGTGTGTGGTGATTATAAAGCAAGGCCTAAGGTGTACTCCCTCCAGGCTCTTCATGACTATGATGCAGAGGACTGTGATAAAACCAGCAATATGGGAACCCTTAACTCATCAATGTTACATAGAAGTACAAATTCCTTAAAAAGTCTTGAGGATGAACATGTACCAGAAGTGACAGAAGTCCCCTTACAGGAAAGACCCAAACCTCATGTCCCTGCCTTGAGGAGGGCACGCTCGCAATCTAGGCCCCAGCAGGTCAAGTTCTCTGATGATGTGGTGGACAATGGCCATTATGGCGACCTCCCATTGCGTCAGCCCCCTATGAGTGAACGAACTCGCAGGAGAGTGTATCACTTTGATGACCAGGGGCACAACCTTCAATCTGGTCGACATAATCACCACCACAGGAGGCGTCGCAGTCGCAAGTCACGGTCTGACAATGCTCTTAATCTTCTCCCAAAAGAGAGAGCACCAATGTGCTACAAGAGCGACCATAGAGGCAATTCATTCGGACCAAAAGGGCACCAAGTCTTCCACGGTCACCCCAATTCAGCTGCCATGTCGGATTACAGACTACCGGGCCCAGCTACGGGAAGGTTCTTGGGATTATATGGTGATGATGATGATGACTGGTGCTCTACGTGTTCCTCTTCCTCCTCTGACTCAGACGAAGAAGGTTTTTTTCTGGGACAGCCTATACCTCAGGCAAGACCTCACAGACATTATTACACTGATGATTTAGCCAGCCAAGTTGCAGGCAAGTCCTCTCCTCCTTACAACCAGTGGACCAAGTCCAAAAAGAAAAAAGGACGTAAAAGCAAAAACTGTATTATTTCATAGGCTTTGCTTAGCTTTTGTAATGCTGCCACTTAAATTTGTTTATTTCATTAACCATTTAAAGTACAACAGCAGTTTGCTTGCTATTTAATGCCTTACAGCACTCAGTTTGTCAAGGTAGTTGTGTTGCACACTATACATCTGTGTTATTACAACTATCAGTAAAGTGTTTTATTCTGATACATATTTATAACACACAATCTAAACAGTGCTTATTTAAAATGCTGTTGTGATATATAAACTGCTGAATTGAAAAGGAGATCACAATTAATGATCTTTGTGACAAAATGGCATAGATCCCAAACTACTGGCAGTTGGTTGTGGACCATTTAATGTGGATTTATTTAGTAGCCTGTGAATCTTCAGATGTGTTGCTTCCAGGCTTGTGTGCCAAAATAAAAAAAGCACTGTGTGTATTACACTGCTTCACTGAGGAGTGTACTAATTGTTTCATTGTATTGTAACCTATGTATTCTGTATAAATGTACAAACAGGGAAATAAGGCCATAATTAGTAACAATAATAAAATATCTATGTAATAACTTCCTTGTTGTGACAGATATATTCAATCTATTGCTGTAAAGAAAAAAATGGACGTTTATTTCAAAAGCTAAAATATGAAACTGTAAAAAAGAAAAAAAAGAGTTCAACTTTAATCCAGGATAAGACATGTTTTTAAACACTAAAACATGGTCTCGGCATAAACAGCGATTTAACTATATCCTAATTATTGGTTGGAGTTACTTACGTTTGCAAATGACCAAGAAAATAACCAAATTCTTTATATTATCCCATTGAAATGTTCTGCTATAACCTTTAGTAGTTCTGGCAACACAATTATAAAAGCAAGTAAAAGTTCAAAGCTATACATATAATTTGCTTAAAACTATTTTTTTTTCTATGTTGATTTGTTTTTATTTAATACTGTGTGTACCTTATTGTAACAACATTAATTAATCATTTAAAAATTCCATCCCATCCCTCCTGCTATGGAAATACATTGAACAGAACATGTGAAATACAATAAAAGATTTAATTTTTTAGTCCACAGATTTTCAGCTCAAGTCCAAGTGACATCACATCACTTTAGCAGTCTGCCATCACAATATCAGGCTGTTGCTTCAGGCTGCCCCAATATCTCATCCAGCTCCATCACAAAGCTCTTAATTGCATCTAGGCAGTGCTGTCGGATCTCCAACAGGTTCTTGTCCAGCGGAGCTTGCAGCATACCATCCAAAGAGGGCTCCTTGTCTATCAGCATCTTCACCACTGTACGGAATGTCTCACAGTCCTGCCTGTATTGCTGCACATAAAAAAAAATAATAATAATGTTAGCACTCACAAAGTCATTAAGAAAAATATAATGTTCTTAGGGTAAAAATATATAACATTACACTTAAAACTATTTGGTAATTACTTTTTTTTTTTTAAAGATATCTTTATTAATTTTTGGTTTCATAACAACAACGAAACATTACAAAGAACAGAACAAAAGCTCAGCAGTGCAGTCCAAAGGAGACAAAAAAAGATAAAAATAAAAAAGGGGGCGTGCATACTTCCATCATGATATAGTCCACATCTAAACATTTATGAATGCCTGTGACAGAATAGTAGACACATGTCCTTCATAGGGGTGGAACGGTTCACAAAATCCACGGTTCGGTACGGTTCACGGTTTCGTGGTCATGGTTTTCGGTTCGGTATATGTTTATTGTTACACCAAAATCCCATAAAAATTAATGAAATTAATGAGAAAATCCAAAAAAATTAATGGATTGTAATTATTTTTAATGATCCGCGGAAACCCTGGATAATTTCCGCATGTTTTGCTGCTTTGAATTTAATCATCTCGCGCATGCCCTCTACGATCTTCAAGGAATTCAGAGCGGAGCGGACGGGAGCCAAAGTGGAGGCTGTAGGCTTTGCTTTGTGCAGGCGGTCTGGAGCGCTGACGGAGTATGTGGGATTTCGGCGTTAGCATGACATGTTGGTCATGTTGCTGTTAGCATAAACAAAACGTCTTGCACAATGCCTGCATACAGTGGCAATTTTATCCACAACTTTCTTTCCGCCGTCATCGTAGGTCACTCTAAATGCAAAGTGGTCCCATACAGCAGACCTATAAAGTGCTGCTGGCGCGTCTTCCAACTCCTGTTCTTTCCCACTCGCCATACCCACACAATTCTCCACAACAACTGATTTTTTTCTGCTACACCCGGCTACGCTGCTTCGCTTCTTCTTCTTGTTTACTACTAGTGGTTGGCTTTGGTCGCAGTAGCGCCACCTTCTGCTCTGGAGTTTACACGCTTTACCTATGAGAAAAAGGAGCAGCGCATGAACCGAACGCAACACACGCGAACCGAACCGAGACAGTCGAACCGAACGGTTCGGAGGGTTTTCATAAACCGTTCCATCCCTAGTCCTTCAGCATAATCCAAAAAGGGCTTCCAAATGCATCCAAAAATGTCAGTCTTAGAGTGGACGAGGCACATTAGGAAGTCAACAGGGATATGTTCTAAAACAAGCTTCTTCCATCCAAAACTTGGTAATTACTATTTAATATGCACGATATATATTCATTAAGTTTTAATGTACATGTATTTTAGATAGAAATGGTGCTGACATCAATCCTGTTACAGTCTATTGGAATTGCGACCAGATTTTTAAGATTTTGCAAAATGAGGCATGGAGGTACATCAAATGCAAGACTCCTGTATGTTTTTGAGTTTTGAAAACGTAAATAAAACGATCCAGAATAAGACCTTCACAGTAAATCTTTGCCACCTAATAATTTGTAAACACAAAAACCACTGTTGATTTTCCAAACATACTGTTTTTATAGAGATGCAAAGTTTAAACATGTAAGAGGATGGATGGATGGATAGACGGATGGTGGGTTCATTGTATTGTTGAATGGTAAACAGATGAAAAACGGATGACACCACATTGTGGGGTAAATGCAATGGATAGACAAGACCTTTAGATGTTGGCTAGGAGAGTGGAATAAATATATTTTCATACAAAGTCATAGTCTTTTAATAACAATATTAATTAGATGCAAAGAAATCTAAAAAAATAAGATTATCCCCATGATGCACAGAGCAAAATAACTTGTAAACTTGTTATGGCACAAAGGATGACAGCTGCATTAAAGAAAAGAAGCATAGACCAAAAAAAAGCGAGTGCCTCTGCCACACAGCTGTTTAGATTCAGTGAACCGCCTCACATCTTACCACGACCCTAATGAACCCAGGTCTGCTTTGTGGAAGTATTTCATGAAACAGATGTGTGAATGAGAGTACATCAGCCTTTTTAAAGGCATGTCTGCCCAATAAGAAATGGAGCACAAGGTGTCAGAGTCTGTTTGCAGCATTCTTTTGCACAATTCTTTTCACATCCCCCTCAGATTTTACAGCTAACCCAAAATGGTTGTTAAGTTCTTTATACAGAGTTCCAGGTGCAGGCTCACAACATCTTTATCGCCTTAGGAAAGAAAGTGAGGCCCTTTACTGAAGCTGAAAAAAGGTTTAGGGCTACACCATCAGGCCAAAGAGTATTACAACATTACTACCACATCAAAGCTCAAATTACCCCTGTAATTTATATATATCAGACATAGTGGGTCATTATAAAGCTATTTTGCTTTGTAAAATGTATGTCAACAATAACCTTTTCTAATGTTTTTTGTCTGTTCACACTTGTTTTGGTCAAAAAATAAACATACATTTGTTTCAGAACAAATACCATTATGAAGGACCTTCAAAATAAAAGTCTAAATCTAAGAGGAAGATGAAAAATGTGAGTCTAAATACACAGAGAAGGACCTTTAAACTGCTCACCATATGAAAAAAAAACATGTGTTAGAAACTACAAATTGCAGCAAATAAAGGATTGGGCTAAATTTAAAGACAGAAGGCGGCTAAAAAGTAAGAGATGAAAAAAGTACCTGTTCAGAGCATATTTTAAGGTTTAAAAAAGTCAGATAGTCCAAGTCATTAAGAGATCAATACTGCATGTGTATTCACTTTTGAGCAAAATTCTGGGGAAAAAGACTGTTTCTGTTTCACCGCATACACACTAATTCAAAAGACAGAGGTAGCGCTGGTTACAAGGGAAGGTTGGAATTGCCAACTCCTATTTCACACATGCACTATATTTTCTCACCCATCTAAATATTTAATATCCGCTTTTCTAATTACTTAGATCTCCCTGGTTGTGTAGGATCAATCTGCCAGGCATGTATACTGTTTCTACAAACCTTTGTGAAAGAATGGGTCGCTCTAAAGAGCTCAGTGGATTCCATCGTGTTCCTGGTTTGGAGATGATTTGCAATAAGTAACAAGTCCAGTTGTAAAGTTTCCTCACTTCTTAATAATCCACCATAAACGTTAACTCATAATGAAGTGAAAGTGATTCGGAACAACAGCAACTGATCCGCTAAGTGGTTGGGGTTAAGGTTAGGTTTAAGCCACTAAAGCCGGGCATACACTTTACGACTTTTTTTCAATTGGTCCAGGCAGCTACAGCTCACACTCTACAATTAAATCGCAAGGTTTGAAAGTTCACAGCTCATACTGTATGTTCTCAAAGCCTGACGCTCTGATGCGATCTACCTGCTCACATTGTACTTCTAAAAACCACGTCAGACTCAGCTCCGCAGTGAGATGGCGCTAATCGGACTCGTCTATCCGGAAGCCAAACGAGTAAAAGAGGAAAAAGACGGGAGTGTCGAAGCATCCTGTTAAATATGAAGCTCACCAGAGTGAAAAGAGCTGCCTTGGCAATTTGTGCAGTTTTGTTGGCTGAAAATCCTAAAAAGAAAAGGCAACAACGTATTTGGACAAAGACATGCCTGAACAAACGTGGCTACTACGGTATGTCAGTTTTACAGAAAGAACTC